TGGAGAAGGCGCTGGGATCCTCCATGGGAGGGCGAAGAGGAGGGGGAAGAGGAGGAGCAGAGGAAAGGACAAATGGCAGTGTCATGCGGAACGAGGCTGGTGGGGGGGGTAGAATGGAGAAGGCATTGGGAGCCTCGATGGGGGGGGGGAGGAACAGGCGGGGGAAGCGGAAAAACATCGGATAGGACCAATGACAATGTCACGTGGAGCTTCAACTCTCCGCGTGCTTGCCAGCGAGTGCTCCTGGTCCTGGGCAGCGGGAGAGGAGGAGCGCCTGCGGCGCCAAGAGCAAAGAGCCATGGCTGCAGGGGAGCGCCGCACGTTGAGGACGGCCGCCTCCGAAAGCATTATGAAGCCACACCCGCCGCGCGCGCGCACTTGTACACAGAGAAGGGGAGGAGGAGGAAGTGGAGGAGGAAGAGGAGGGGGAGGACGAGGAGGAGAAGGAGGAGGAGGAGGAGGAAGTCGAGGAGGGGAGAAAGGGGAGGAGGAGGAGGAGGAGGAGGAGGAGGAGGAGGAGGAGGGGGAGGAGGAGGAGGAGGAGGAGGAGGAGGAGGAGGAGGAGGAGGAGCAGGAGGAGCAGGAGAAGGAGGAGGAGGAGGAGGAGGAGGAGGAGGAGGAGGAGCAGGAGCAGGAGGAGGAGGAGGAGGAGCACACGGCACTCACGAAGGTCATGATCCAGATTGAGCTGGCCGAGGACGAGCCGCGGGCCGATGAATAGACACCGCTCGCAACCAACCATGCCTCCAAAACTCCCCTCCGAGCTCGGAACAAAGCGAGGGGGCAAATGGGCCCACATCTATCCTGCATCCGAAGTGCGTTCGAACTACTAAGATATACATGATGTACTAGAACCGCTAGGTGTCGCTGATTGGGGGGGGCGGCATGTAACAACAAACGTGTGTTCACGTGCAGAACATTGAGGGTCATCGGGAGGAAGCGAATACTGAAGGGGTAAGAACATCAAGGGCAGCAAGACAGTGAAGGTAGTGTGATCCGCCGCATGACCGGACAAAGCATACACCCATACGCGTGGTTGGCCACGCGTTGCAGACGGGTCTGAGGTAGGTTACACAAGTATACGGATATACACGAGCAACACGCAAGTGGAGAGAACGAAAAGCCAGATCCGCAACATGAGCGTCAACTCTGGACAGAAATTGCGAGTGCGTGCACGCCGCACGCTAAATACAGAAACTCCTGCCAAGTGCTGCTGTGAGCAAAGAAAAAATGTTCGACTGAACATTGCGCGGCGCTTCGTCCGCCAGATCTGGTGCTAGCTCCATCAGCTTTCGATATGTTCACAAACAGGTCATCGTTACAGAACAGCTACTCCTGGCAACCACCCTCGGGACCATCAACAAATCAGTATCATAGCGTTCAAGCTAGTGGCGCTCGCACGAGATATCCCAATAACCGGGGGGAGCAAAAAAACACGAGATGCCCCCACGAGGCTCCGAAGAGACCCCCAAGAGGCTCCAAGAGGCCCCTCCAGAGGCAGACAAGACGCCCCAAGAGGCCTCAGCGAGCAGACCAACATCATTGATGCCACTCAGGTGTTGACCACATGTTGGCCTCCTGGGGGGAGGGCCTAATTTAGTACGGCCCGTCCTTCGATCGATCTCCTCCAAAATAGCCCCAAGATGGCTCCCGAGGATCCCATGGGTGCCCCAAGACGGCCCCAAGAGGTGCCCAAAAGGCCCCGAGAAACCCCCGAAATGCCTCCAAGAGACCCCCAAAAGACCCCCAAGAGACCACCCCGGCTGCACCCAAGAGGCCCCAAGATGCCCCCCAGGACTGCCAAGACAAGAAACCTCCATTACGCACCACGAGGACTCCAAGAAGCTTTCGGAAGACATCCGAAGAGACTCCGAGCCCCATCATGAAGCCCCTGGGCTTTCTGTTCGCCCTCCTCATCATCCTCCTCCTCGTCCTTCTCTTCCTCACTCGCCTATTCCTCCTCCGTCGTCCTCCCTCCTTCCCCCCCCTCTCCCTCCTCCTCCTCCATCTTCTTCCTCCTCCTCATCCTCCTCCTCATCCTCCTCCTCCATCCTCCCCCCCTTGGGGTATGACGTCTTACCCAGCCCCTTGTTACACTGCATGCTCCTCCATATCCCTGATCAAGGCAACTCGTCTGGGCATCGTTTCTGGATGGGCTGGTGGGTTTACGCGGAACGGCTGGAATACCTGCGTGTGTCAACCCGGTCACCATAGCCGTCGTCGTCAATCGTAGTGTTGGCTCCAGGCACTGCCGAACGGCTGCGTGCAAGTTCAAGCCGCCGAGGCCCCAGGGTGCGAACCTGAGAAACCATGGCTACGGAGAAGACGGGGAGGAGGAGGAGCAGAAGGAGGTGAGGGAGGAGAAGCAGGAGGAGCAGGAGGGGGAGGAGAATGGGGAGGAGGAGTGTGAGGGGGGGAGGAGGGAGGAGGAGGAGAAGGTGGAGGAGGAGGAGGATGAGTGGAAAGAAGAGGAGGAGGAGAAAAAAGAGGAGGAGGAGGAGGAGGAGGTCGAGTGGGAGGAGGAGGAGGAGGAGGAGGAGGCGGAGGAGGAGGAAGAGGAGGATATGAATCACATCGATTCCTTGAGGATGCCTCCTCATTCTCCTCCTCATCCTCCTCCTCCTCCTCCTCACCACCACCACCACCACCACCACCACCACCATCATCATCATCATCATCATCATCATCATCATCATCATCATCATCATCATCATCATCATCATCATCATCATCATCATCATCATCATCATCATCATCATCATCGCCACCACCTCCATCCATCACCACCACCACCATCATGATCGTCACCTGTATCACAGCCGCCACCACACCAACCACCATCATCGATCCTCATCATCATCATCACCACCACCACCATCATCATTATCATCAGCAGCAGCAGCAACAGCGTCATCATGATCATCATCATCATCAGCAGCAGCAGGATCATCAGCATCGTCATCATCAGCATCAGCATCATCATCACCATCATCATCATCAGCATCAGCGCCATCATTATCATCAGTGCCATCATCATTATCATCACCATAATCATCGTCACCAGCACAATCGTCGTAATCAGCATCATCATCAGCAGCATCACAATCACCATCACCCTCATCACCATCATCACCATCATCATCATCACCACCATCATCAGCAGCAGCACAATCATTGTAGTAATAGATAGAATGCGAATAATGATCATTCATATTGGTGATACTAACCACACGAAAATTCAGAATCTGCCTAACAGTGATAATAATAACAACAAAAGTAGGACATAAGACGAAGAATAATGATAATAAACGTAATGGTAATACCAGTACCATTCATGAAAATACTGCTAATACTAAACGTGATAATAATACATAAAAATATACATAAACAATAACGATCATCAGCATCATCATCAGCATCGTCATCATAATCGTCGTCGTCATCAGCATCATCGTCATCGTCGTCAGCGTCGTCATGATCATCAGCAGCAGCATCATGATCATCAGCATCATCCTCATCATTATTATCATCGTCATCGTCGTTGTCGTCATCATCACCAGCATCATCATCAGCATCATCGTCATCAGCATCATCAGAATCAGCATCATCATCATCCTCATCATCATTAGAATTATCATCATCATCAGCAGCAGCAGCATCATCATCATCATCATCATCATCATCATCATCATCATCATCATCATCATCATCATCATCATCATCATCATCATTGTCGTCGTCGTCGACGTAGTCGTCATCATCATCCTGCAGGGTGGGCGGCCAGGCGGAGCACCGCAGCTGCGTGAGGTGCCGCATGACGTTGACCTGCCCCCGCGTCTGTACTGCCACCGATTTTCGGAGCTGGAGGAGGATCATCGAGGAGGAAGAGGAGGAGGAGGTCGAAGAAAACGAGGCGGGGGAGGAGAGGAGAAGGAGGGATAAGGAGTCGAGGATATCCGGGCGGTCGGGAAGGAAGAGCAGAAGAAGGTCGAGGAGCGCGGAGGAGGAGGGAGGAGGAAGGAGGGAGGTCGAGGAGGGGGGAGAGCTGAGGAAGGCAGCTCGAGAAAGCAGAGGTGAACTCAACAGGGAAAAATATGATTATTTACAAATCGCGGCAGCAATGGCGCGACACCACAGGGACGATGAGTGAACCGGGGAGGAGGGGGAGGAGCGGAGGAGGAGAAGGAGGAGACGAAGGAGGAGGAGGAAGAGGCGGAGCAGGAGGGAGGGAAGAGGAGGAGGAGTAGGGGGAGGAGGAAGAGGAGGAGGAAGAGGAGGGGAGGAGGGGGGGGAGGAGGGGAGGGGGGGGAAGTACGGAGGATGGAGCTTCCTTGCCCACCCCACCCCCCGGTCTCCCTTCGGCCCCCTGCGTGGGCACCTTGGAGCCGGCGTCCTGCAGGCGCGCCTCCAGGGCGCTCCGCAGCTTCGCCAGCTTCATGTCCTCGGGGAGGGAGGAAGGAGATGATTGGCCTGTTTTCCACCACCACCACCACCATGAGTTGAAGGGGGAGGGGGTCCTCCTCCTCCTCCTCCTCCTCCTCCTCCTCCTCCTCCACCTCCTCCTCCTCCTCCTCCTCCTCCTCCTCCTCCTCCTCCTCCTCCTCCTCCTCCTCCCCCTCCCCCTTCAACTTATGGTTGTGGTGGAAAGCAGGCCCATCAGGAGAGGGACGATGAGGAGGAAGAGGATGAGCCCGACTCCTCGAATCGTCGTTAGCGAAATGGCCGCATCTGGCGCGGGCGAACGCAATGACACTGTTCTGCCACAGCTGGCGCAGATGGATTCTCTGTCGAGGAGCTTCTTCATGACATTTCGCCTGCCCACACCTCTCGCAGGTGGACCACTTCCGCGCCATGGCGATGTGAAAACCTTCGGCCACAGCCAACTCAATGATCTGCCACTAGTGTGACCGGCAGTGCAGCTGACGAGTTGACCCTGAAACACTACTCTGGGAGGAGGGAGGAGGGATGGCCTCTCTCCCCGCCTCTCCCGCTGCTTCCCTTCACGCTCCCCCACCTGGCCCGATCGGAGACGGGGCCGACCCGGGAGGCTGGGAGGGGGCTCGGTGTCCAGCACGGCGACCGCCCTGCCCGGCTTGGTGGCTTCAGGCCTGGGGCGCGCGCGCGCGCCAACGACCACAAATCGGACGACGACGACTTCGACGACGACGACGACGACGACGACGACGACGACGACGACGACGACAACGACAACGACAACGGCCACGACGACGACGACGGCCACGACGACGACGACGACGGCGACGACGACGACGACGACAACGACCACGACGACAACGACCACGACCACGACGACGACGACGACGACGACGCCGACGCCGACAACGACCACGACGACAACGACCACGACGACGACGCAGACGCCGACGCCCACGCCGACGCCGACGGTGCCGACGCAGACGCCGACGCAGACGCCAACGACAACGATGCCGACGCCGACAATGACAGCGACGACGTAGACGACACCATCGACGCCACCGGTGCCGACCGCGACGACTCTGATGACAACGACGACGGCAATGACGACGACGACGACGACGACGACGACAACGACGACGACGACGACGACGACGACGACTGCGGCGGCCGCGGCGGCGGCGGCTGCGGCGAAGGGGACGGCGACGTCGACGACGACGGCGACGGCGACGGCGACGGCGACGGCAACGGCGACGGCGACGACGAGAACGGCGAAGACGGCATCGACATCAACGCCACCACCGACGACGATGAAGCCGCGTTGAGCGCGCCAGGGGCGGCGCCGGAGGCACCGCCAGGGGCCCTTTTGTGCCTCCTGGGCGGCATTTGCCTCTTGAACGGCGTTTGGGGCCTTTAGCCTCTGAGGGCGTCGCCAGGCCGGGAAGGCTTCAGACGGGCGGGCGCGGCCCAGGGGCCCCCCAGTCCGAATGGGCCCAAGCCGAGCCAGGAACGGCCCGAGGTGGCCCGAAGGCGGGCCGCAGATGCAGGCCAGGCTGAGCGGCCCGCGCTCGAAGGCGCGGCCAGCGAAAGGCCCCGTGAGGCACCCCGCCCGCGCGCGCCCTCCATGGGCGAGCCTGCTGAGGTTAAAGAAGCACGTGTTGCCGTGCTCTGCGGCCTGGGAGGGGAGGCAACAGCACGAGCAGCGGGTGGGAAATAACTGGATGAGGAGGATTCTCAGGCGGCAACGTGCTGGTGGCTCACGCGGAGGGGGCCCGTGCCCGTGCGGGGAGGGAGAGGGGAGGCAGAGCGATGCGCGGGAGGAGGTTGGCGTCATTCCCACTGCGCGAGGGCAGGCCCTGGGGGCACAGGGGGGTCCGCGACCCATGCTACATATCAAAACAAACAAATACAGACAGACAGACAGACAGACAGACGGACGGACAGACAGACAGACAGACAGACAGACAGACAGACAGACAGACAGACAGACAGACAGACACACAGAGAGACAGACAGACAGACAGACAGACAGACAGACAGACAGACAGACAGACAGACAGACGTACATACATATGTAAATGCCTACCTACCTGCCTGCCTGCCTACCTTCCTTCGTCCCATCCTACCTACCTACACACCTACATACATACATAAATGCATACGTCCATACATGCACACACACGTACGTACACACACATACACACATACGTACAAACATACATACATACATGCATGCATGCATACATGCAGACAGACAAACAGACAGGCAGGCAGGCAGGCAGGCAGACAGAAAGACAGACAGACATGCATACGTACGTACATGCTTACATAAATACCTATACACACATACATGCATGCATACACGCACACATGAATACATGCAAGCATGCATATATGCCCGCGCACATGCATTAATACATACACGCCTGCCATACAATTGCGTACCGCACGTCCAGAAAATACATGCATGAACACATACACGCCTGCCATATAATTGCGTACCGCACGTCCATAAATACATACCATACATACTAACATGCATGCATGCATACAAACGTATTAACATACATTGTACATAGAGAAAATGCATAGCATGCTTACAGCCACACACATACATAGATACACATGCATGGATGCGTATGTACGTACAGACGTACATACCTACACACATACACACATGTGTGCGTACGCACATACAGGCATACACACACATACAGTTACAAGTATGCACATATGCATACAAACATACATGAACACGTACAAAAACAAACAAACAAACAAACACACAACCGTTCATGCATACATACGTACACACAGTCAGCCATACACATGGGCATGTATACATGCAAGCGTACATACTTACTACGTACATGCATATAATCATGCATACGTGTATGCATGTATACGTGCATGCATACATACAAACATATACATACATGCATATCTACATACATGCATTCCAAGATTCTACATTGCATTGCATGGCATTACATTACATCGCATTGCATTACATCACATTACATTGCATACGTGACATACATACAGGCATACATGCATATATGCAAACAAGCTTTCATACATACATACCTACATACGTACATACATACATACATTCATACACATAAACAAAGATATACCTATACATAAATACAGACGTCTTTGCACAAATACATACATGCATGCAAACAGGCATACCTATAAATATGCTTGCATGCATGCATACATACATGCATGTATACATATATGCATATAGACATAGAAACAAACAAACATACATACACACGTACGTATACAAATACACACATGCGTACATACATGCATATATAGATGCATACATGCATGCATGCATACATACATACAATGTACGCAACGAGCTGATATCCAAGAGGCCTCAAGAACCCGCCCACCCACCCCCACTCCCACCCCCACCACGGGGCAGAAGAAAGACAGGAGCCCATCGCAGCCCCGCGTGCCCCGCCGGCCCCGCGCGTGCCGCACTCTCCCGGTGGCCGCTCGGCCTCCCGCGGCTCTCCCCCCCTCACTGGCCCTGGGTGGCACGCACTGCCTGCACATGCAGACTGCGCCGCGCAGAGCCCCCGCACAGTGCACCCCGCATCTTGAGCCGCACTGACTGCATCGCATCGTGTCTCCTGGGGAAGGCCCAGTGGCTTGCACCGCGTAGGCTGCTCACAGTCGCCGTTCGGGCTCCACACGCTTGCGTCATGACAGAAAACGCGCTAATTAACTTTCAGCTGCACCACACTGCTAAGATGGGCCACGCTTTACCACACTGAACACCGACACCCGTATCTACCTAGGCCTGAGTTCGCAAGCGCATGGTCTGTGCGAGGGCATCCCTGGCGGGCACCAGCGCCACGGGCCGACACGCTCGCATACAAGCCCCTGCGGACATCAGGTTGCCCAATGAATCGCACAAACACCCCTGTGAGCAAGAAGACTGGAGATCAGAAGGAGATTAAGCAACAGCTGCAATAACAAGCCGGGCTACTGATTTTCAACAGCTACAACGTCCTCCCCGTGCGCGATCGAACAGCTGAGGAGCACGTGCGCGCCTTCCAGGCTTGCGGCTTGCATCATGAGATCCGTAATCGACCCATGCCTGTTTCTAGCCCCAGACCCTCACACACTCTATTGCCCATTCATCAATATCGTGCGTACGATAACCCTGAAACTCTTCGTGCACACTCACGGCTAGTATTGAAAATATTCGTGCACGCTTCTCATAGGTTGTGCACCCGCAATCTGACTTGATATGACATGATATCTGCTCAGACAAATCATACCGAACGATCATCCACCTACCAATGCAAGGCCTATCTATTCAAAGCCCAATTCTCGCTCCATCTCCTCCCCTCCCTCCACCCCTCCTCTCCCTCAACCCCCCATCATCCCTCCACCTAATCCTCCGGCACCCTCCCTCGCCCTCCCTTCCCCTCCCTCCCCCCTACCGCCCTCCACCTGCTAGTGCAAGGCCTAATCCTCCCCTCATCTCTTCTTCACTCCACCCCTCCGTCCCTCGCTCCCTGCCGCCCCTGGCATTCTATCCCTCTTCCTCCCTTACCGTGCCTTCCATTCCCCTGCCCTCCATTCTCTGACGTTCCAAATGCACCACTCCACTCCTGTACACCGTTCCCGTCATCCTTTCCCTTTCCAATCACAACAGTTGCCTTCCCCTTCTCCGATATAGCCCCTCATTTTGATGTATCCCGCTCTGAACTTTCCCAGTACTGCCTCTTACCCACCCATCTCAGCACACGCCTTCACCACTTTCCCTCTTCTCTTCCCCTCCCAAGCCCTCACTTCCTGCCTCATCCTACCCTACATGCGTCAACCCTTGGTTCAACTTGTAGCAAACTCTATACCGCGCTGTCTGTGTCTGACTACTTGCTTCGGAACATCTCCGAACATGTGCATTGCTGCCCTACTTTAAAAGAACCAATGACGCAAGAGCAAGCTGTGGACTTACCTGGTGCGCCAAAACGGATACAACCGAGATGAGCAGGTTCAAACACCGACAGGAGTGTCGCGAACAAAACTGGAAAATGGAGGAGATCAAGGGCCCAGAGAGCCAGGAACCCGCCCTCTCCCACTTACTGCTCACAATTCTCCACAAGCAAACTATCGCAGGTGTCATGATCGTTCACACTGTCGTGTGCCGAGGCTGATACGGACATGCATCTGCCTGTCGTTAGCACTCTCACAAAGCAAAAAGGACCGTGAGGGTAACGGGTAGGGGGGCTCGCCTGGGCCTGGTATGTTATCCCGAGCCGTTTTGTCACAGGGCCAGCCGGAAGGGCCCCAAGCGGCTGAAAATTCTTAGCAAACGAAAAAACTCGCACTCAAGGACCCTCAGGGAGCCTGGAGGCCCGGAGAAGGCCCGAAAACATCCGAAAACCTCGAGTCTCGCACGTCGAGTCTCGATTGACAGCGGGCCCCAGGGCCTCCCCAGGCACGGGCTTTTCTTTTCGCTCCGGGGGAGGAACAATCCGGGCCCCCTCGCCACAGAGCCACTACCCCTCGCGGCTGCATGGAGAGCAGGCCGGGCAGGCCCGCCTCGGACGAGCGGATGAGGGTGAAGCAGTTGTTGCACATGATCTCCAGGTCCTCCTGCCCGGAAGCGGCACGCTTGCGCGGCGGCCCGCCCCGGCGGCCGAGGCCCGCCCTTCCCGCCGACACCACGGCCGCCCCTCCTGTGACCCCTACCCGTCGTCAGCTCCAGCTCCGACTCCCCCTCCTCCCCCTCCTGTTGCCTGTCGCCTGTTGCCTGTTGCCTGCTGGCTGGAAGGTCGGTCCGGCGCAGCCCCTCCCCCCCAGGGCCGGTCGGCCCTTGGGGTGTGGTCAAACTAGGGCCAGGTGACCCCGGGAGCACAGCGCCAGGGGCCACGGGCGGCACGCGTGTTAACGTGTGTCAGAAAGTAAGTGGTAAAAGTGAACAGGCAGGAGGAGGAGAAGGAGAAGAGAGGCATCAACATCCATCCAACACATAAAAGCATAACGAAGATGGGCGGAGCGGAGCGCGAGGCATCATCTTCTTCCTCCTCCCTCCACCACCTCCTGCTCCTCCTCCTCATTTCCTCTTCCTCCTCCTCCTCCTCCACCTCCTCCTCCTCATCCTCCTCCTCCTCCTCCTCCTCCTCCTCCCCTCCTCCGCCTCCTCCTCCCCCTCCTCCCCTCCTCCTCCTCCTCCTCCTCCTCCAGCTCCTCTCCTCCTCTCATCCTCCTCCCATCCTCCTCCCTCCTCCCACCCCATCCTCCTCTTCTCCTCCTCCTCCTCCTCCTCCTCCTCCTCCTCCTCCTCCTCCTTATCTTCCTCCGCACCTGCCTCCGCGGCTATTCAACATGAATACTACTATCCTCTCTTCCCCGAAGACGGCCCGAGAGTCGCGCGCCCTCTGCTGCACTTCTTTATGCACAGGGTGGGTCCGAGCTGCTTCGTTCATGTGCTTTCCAATCCGAGCACTCTCGGTCCTTCCAAAAGTGCTCCACTGCAGCGCGGGCCTGTTTCTAGGATTGGGGCTTTGCTTGTAGCGCGGGCCACCCTTCTGGATCCGGGCTGTTCCTCGTCGTTGTCGCCCCCCTCCTTTCCCCTCCTCCGCCTTCCCCTGGTCCTCCTGCTCCTCCTGCTCCTCATCCCTGCTCTGCTGTCCATCCTCACCCTTCTCCCTTTCCTGGTCCTTCTCCCTTTCCCTTGTCCTCCGCCCTCTCCTGGAGGCCCTCCATCACCTCCACGAGGCCCGACCACCAACCACCGACCCACATTGCAGGAGGCGCTTCCCCCGCCCAGGAGAAACCGAGGCACAGCTATGACTGCTGAACAACCGCCCCTGTCACTGTATGGCTCCTCTGCGAGGCCCTGCGGGCCTCCAGAGGCCGTCCACTCCCCCCTTCAGCAGGCCCCCCCTCCCCTGGAAGGATGCCTGTCATACTTCTCCACTTCCACCATTTACAGAAGCCGCCCACGTCTTCCAGGGTGCCATCGCCTTCCTGTTGAGGGAAGCCCTCCTCTTTAAGGAAGCCCCTCCCATTGTAGGAAATTCTTCGAGAAATCATCACCCTCTTACGGAGGCCCTCACCCTTGAGGTATGCCCTCCACCCCCCCCTCTCGTGGAAGGCCTCGCTCTCCCTCCGAGGAGGCCGTATACAGCACCCTCTTTTTCTAGAAACCCGCGAGGAGCCGCCGCGGCGGCGCGAGAGGTCGCCATGGGCCGGTCCACCTCGCCGTCGGCGGGACGGGGGGCAGCACTGGGGTTAGGCCGGGCGTGTCCTCCTACAGGGGGATTTGGGGCGAAGAATGAAAGGGGGAAAAAAAATCAGAAAAAATGTAAAAAACAACAAGAGAATCGTCCCCATTCTATGTTTTGCCTATTTTGTCATATTCCTCAACTCAACGCTGGGGAAGCCGGGCGCGCCCCCACACGGGCGGCGAGCTCGGGCGGCCGGAGGCGGCGCTCCAGCCCCGACAGCGCCCGTCCGCGGCGCGAGGGAGAGCGCGGGAGCGGGCGCGGCGCGCCAGCCCCGCCCGCGAAGCCGCCAAGAGGAGGAGGAGGAGGAGGAGGAGGAGGAGGAGGAGGAGGAGGAGGAGCAGGAGGAGGAGGATGGGGAGTGAGGAGGAGGAGGAGGGTAGGAGGAGGAGGAGGAGCGGAGGAGGGAGATGAGGAGGAGGAGGAGGTCAGTGAGCGAGGAGAAGAGGAAGAGAGGATGAGGAGAATGGAAAGGTGTAGAGAAGGGCAGGCTAGGAGGGATTGGGACGGTACAAGACGAGGGAGAGGGTAGGGCTAGGAAGGAGGAAAGGACGAGGTGAGGTGCGAGGGGGGGAAGAGAGTAGCGTAGAGGGCGGCACAGGAGTATCCGAGCGTGAGGAGCAGAGGGGAGGGGACTGAGGAGGCGGAGAAGGGGAGGGAGGGGGGGGCAGGGAGAGGGACCGGGGCCGCCCGAAAGGAGGAGGAGAAGGAAGGGAAGGAGGAAAGCATGGGGAGGACGGAGGAGAGGAGGGAAGGAATACAAGAGGTAGGAGGGAGAATAAAATAGAAAGGCCAGCGGGCGTCAGCAGGAGGAGGAGCGGAGGAGGAGGGAGGAGGAGGAGGAGGAGGAGAAGGAGGAGGAGGAGGAGGAGGAGGGATGTGCGAGGCTCCGAGAGAAGCGTACGAGAGTCGAGGGTCGAGGGTGGACGGAGGAGAAGGAGGTGGGAGGAGGAGGAGGAAGAGGAGCGGAGGAGGAGGAAGAGGAGGGAGAAGGTAGGAGCGAGGAGGAAGGATTTATGCAATTTATTATTAAGCATGGGGAGCAGCGGAGAAGCGGGGAAGGAGGAGGAGGGGAGGAGGAGGAGGGCGGGCAAGCGGGAGGGGCGCCAGGTGAGGCTGCTGGGGGCTCCTCCTCGCCCTGCTCCGCGACATCCCGGGTGAAGGTCGGCCTGCGCACCTCTGGGGCCCGGGGCCGCGGGCTGCGGGGCTCGCCGGGCAGATCACGACGCAGGCCCAAGAGCGTGACACTCTTCCCTCTCCTCCTCCTCCTCCTCCTCCTCCTCCTCCTCTTCTTCTTATTCTTAATATTATTATTCTTATTATTATTCGTATCCTTATTAGTATTAATATTGTTATTATCATTATTATTCTGATTAGTATTCCTCGTAATATGTTTTCTTATTACTATTATTACTATTATTATTACTCTTCTTATTAGTATGCTCCTTATTGTTATTGATATTAGTATGTGTATTATTGATATTCTTTTTATTATTGTTCTTAATCGTCTTATTAGTATCATTATTAGTATTATTCGTATTGCAATTCTTCTTCGTATGATTATTATTATTATTATTAATAACAGTATTATTATGCTTAGTAGTATTTGTTGTATTAGTGTTGTTCGTCATGTTATCATTCATAGTATTCCTATTATTCCTCTTGATCCTCCTACTCCTCTAATTCCTCTTCGTATTCCTCTGTTTCCTCTTCCCCTTCCTCTTATTATTCTTATTAGTATTCTTATTGTTATTATTATTCTTATCAGTATTCGTATTAGTATTATTATTATTCTTAGTATTCTTATTATTATTCTTATTATTATTCTTCTTATTATTCTTCTTATTATTCTTCTTATTATTATTATTCTTCTTCTTCTTCTTATCATTATTATTATTATTAATATTATTAGTATCCCTCTTCCTCTTCCTCTTCCTCTTCCTCCTCCTCCTCCTCCTCCTCCTCC